GAGCAAGGAGGTGAGGCTCGGTCCAGGCAGCCACGTGGGCAGGCGAGCGGAGGTGCCAGTGGGTGGGTGTGGCCCCAGCGAACTTCGTCTCCCTGGTGTGGCCGCAGGTGCAGGACCTCTTCGAGGCCGAGGGCAATGACCGGCTGAAGCTGCTGCTGCTCTACAGTGGGGAGGAAGACGAGCTGCTGCGGCGGGCGGCCGCCGGGGGCCTGGCCATGCTCACCTCCATGCGGCCGTCCCTGTGCAGCCGCATCCCCCAGGTGGTCAGTGCCTCTTCTGCAGGGGGGGCGGTGGGTGTTCCCCCTCCTGGGGCTCAGCCTGTTGCTCGGTGTTCACACTGCCCTGGTTCCTACAGACCACGCACTGGCTGGAGATCCTGCAGGCTCTGCTCCTGAGCCCCAACCAGGAGCTGCAGCACCGGGGCGCCGTGGTGGTGCTGAACATGGTGGAGGCCTCGCGGGAGACCGCGAGCACCCTGATGGAGAGCGAGGTGCTGGAGATCCTGTCGGTGCTGGCCAAGGGCGCAGAGGGCCCTGTCACGAGGGCGGCCGAGGCCTGCTTGGGGAAAGCGGTGGAATATGGGCTCATCAAACCCAACCAGGACGGAGAGTGAGGGGCTGTCTCATGCACACGGAACTGCGGCACAGGGAACAAGGACCTGCAGCTTTCACCGTAGGGACGGGGCTGCCCAGCACTCTGGCTTCTCCCCAGCTGCCCTGTGATGTCCTCTGTTCTTAGGGACCACGCTCACCACAGCGCTGCTCTGCCAGCACTACCTCCAGCCTCACGCAGAGGGCTTTTCCTGCTACTGCACACTCCTGGGAAGGGGGATGGCTGCCCCTCACTCAGCCCCAGGGTTGTGGCATCGGACGGGCGCATCAGGCAGCCTCACCAGCAGCGAGCGTCACCGAGCCTGCTAGCAGGACTGCCCCGACCTCTAATAAATGCGTGTGGACTCAAATGTGTGCCCTGTTCGAGGCCTGGGCGGGCTGGCTGTGGGTCTCCTGGAGCAGGAGCTGTGGTTCCAGTGCACGCGGGAGGCACCTCTAGGAAGGAATCCCATGGGTTCGCCCCCCCCCCCC